CCCCCACCATCATGGCGGTGCTTCACCGCCCTGCCCCCACCTCTTGTCCATAACACTCTTGGAGCACTCTGATTGGTTGTTTCAGTAACCAATCAGAGTACTCCAGAGCATTACGGACAGAGACAGATGGACTAAGCCCTTTATTATATTAGAAGTAGATAGTTGCCTCTAGTCTTCATCAGTATATTTCCTCTCCCTGTACCAATCATTCATGCCAAAGAGGGTCACTGCCAAAGAGTAAAAACTTTTTCAGCACCATTAACGGAAATGTCCTGATACTCAGAGGCTTTGAAAAATGCCTCCTCTCCCCACTTCATCAACTCTAGCAGTTAAATCATTTTCAGCACTGGTTCTGGGCATGCCTTACTGACCATTTTCAATTTCTTAATATTCCTCGGGCTTAAACGGATCAGAAAGGAATCCACCATCGTTTTTTTCTTTCTCGCCATTCCCCATGAGAAATTAGTGATTTTTACCTCCTGCTGCCAGAACTCATGATCATGTGCCAAGCTGCAAAATCTACCAATATCCTGTCCATGTACCTTGACTATGATCTATCCTTTCCGCTATTGTTGCAACACCTGTCTTGCGAATATATCTATATAGCCCTTCCCAATGAACCTAAACTACCCTCAGCTTGTCTTCCACCGAACCAACCCACATCAGTCCCCTCACTTCATTTAATTTCCTGTCAGCACTTAGCTTCCCCCTCTACCATTTACCTTCTGCTCCAACTCCAGTCCCTCCAGCCCGGACCTGGCCTGGCCAGGAGCTACCACCACTTCTCCCTGGCCAATCTGGGCTGGGCTTGTGAAGAGCCACCATTGCTTGAGTGCCCTGATCCAGAGCAAGACTGCTGTAGAAGGTAGGGAAGGTGGGCAGAGAGCAGGGCAGTACTGAGCAGGAGAGCTGGGGGGGCAGGTAGAGGAATGGGGGGGCAAGGGTCAAACCTCCCCCCACGCCACACTGCTTTCCAGAGGTATGAATTAAGATGACCTTCTACTAATTAGATTCTATACATGGAAAATTATAAATGTTATAATTTTCCATGTATAGAATCTAATTATGTGCATGTCTTAAATTCAGGTTCACCTTGGATTCAGGTAAATAAAGTATATAGTCTCAGCATACCATTTCCTAACTATATTGCATTACACAATTGGTAGATGTCAGAAAGGCTCATCCTCCACTGTGAAAGTAATCAAGCCAGATATCTAATTTGAAACAAGGCAAAAATGGCAAATCTTATATGCAGAGACTTAAAAGTTGATGAGTGTGCATGGGGGCTTGTGTCATCTTTAGGTTCCTTTCAATGTAAGCATAATGACCAGAAAGGGTTGTTTGTTATGTTTTAAAGGGCGGGTTGGTGACCTACAAAGCTGGGTTGTTTTCTGTTGTTTTTTTCCCTTCAAAAAACCACATTGCCCTAAAAGAAATACTTTGAGAACAAAAAAGACAAACTGCTACAATAATTTTAAAGACTGCTGCTCACTTACAACACTGGATAACAGTGCTATACTAAGTTGTCTAAGATTTATCATGAGCATGAAATGTGTGTTTATTCCTCCAAGAGTATTTCTTTTCTACAACCAATATATTTTAAGAAAGCTGTGTTCATTTTCCTGCGTACAGCATACCAAGCACAGGTGTTAAGTAGAAACCCTGAAAGGTTACATAGTGGAATTATTGTTTGCTCTCATACCTTTCATACTTCAGAGAACCCCAAGCGAGCATCGCTAGAGAGAAAACAGAATCTGAACCATTAGCTGTAAATTATACTTGAAGTTAACATCTATTATCCTAATCAGTTACAACATTTCTAAACCTTCCGACAGCCACCACAGGATCTAACATTTAAGATCCTGGAACAGAAACCAGGACAACTAAATTCTAGTCCTGGCTCTGCCAAGTGACCTTAGGCAAGTCACTTGAGCTCTGTTTTGCTTTGGTTTCCTTTTCCATCTTAATTTCCCTTTCTTGTCTATTTTCAGTTGATCTCAGTTGGGATCTTCAAATGTGAGTAATACAGGCTCCGCAAACAACAACAACAAAATCAATATTTTATTTTGACATTAACATAGTATTCTAGTGCTCAGTGAGGCAAGACTTCAAAGACCTCTCTACACTACAAATAACACTGCAGCAATCATCACAGTTAATACACATTTTAGTCTTGCAAAATAGCTAGAAATAGTGAAGTCTTGGTTGTGATTTTAAAAGGCAAAAATGCATTTAATCATACAGGCTCCACTAATTCTGAAGTTAATACAATTAAAAAAAAAAAAAGCCACACCCTGGAGTGCAAGATAAAGCTAAATTTAAAATGGTCAGGTCCTGTAGCATTTTATTATGTAGATGGGACTTACTACAATATCTTGAGCCACTTTGTTGTGTAGATAAGACTTACTGTGTTTATTCTGAGGCAGACACAGGCAAGTACTGTGCCACTCAGTGATGGGCATAGATGAAGACTAGGCTCAAATTAAACCACAAGTGAAAAAAAATATTTATTTTGGTTTTGAATTCCATTTTTATGGACAGGACATGGACAAAATTTAAATAAAGCATCTTCTATACCAATATAAAAATAGTTTTATTAAGCAGAAAAGGGCAAAAGGAAACTATTAAAGCAGGCAAAATGATACGTGTTTTACTGAGGTCTGACTGTTTACTTAAAAGAGTAAGGAAAGCAGTATTTAAACTAAACACAGCAACAGACTAATTCCACAACTGTACTGCAAATTATTCAGATTATTTTCAGAGGTTTAGCAGCCTTTTGTTAGACAGTCTAAAATAGGTTATATTGAGAGGAAGATGTAAACAGAAACTGTTTACAGAAAGCATCACACACCATATTAGGAGCATGCAAAACCCTGTCCTGAACAAACTGGCCAGCTTTGCTTTGTAAGAACATAGATAATTAAATACAAACAGTAAGAAACAGCTTGTTCAGATGGCCTTTTCCTTTCATTCACCTTCAATATATTTCCATTAACTTCTAAAATAAGTCAGCCAATAAAATGTTATTTCAAATACCATTTCCTTAATGGAACAATATTTGATAATCTGGAGAGTTTTTTATTTGCTTAATTTTCATTAGAGCCATTAGACTGGTATACAAAAACAGGAAATACAAATTTAAAATCATTATCTTTTCTGCAAGAGAGAGTCTGACAAGCATGTAATACTACTGAAGAACAACAATCGGGAAAATCCACTGGGAAAACACCCTTAGTTTCCAGAAACAAAACTTTACTTGTCAACAGTTATGGAAGGATTCCAAGAATTTGTCATGCCTGGATGTGTAGACATTTTCTGTAGTTAACCCTCAAAACTGCAGATTGCTGCCAATCTTTAGCACAATGAAATCAAAGACACATAGAAACAAAAACAATTCAGTGCCATGTACCGTGTTAATAACTTGCCTTTTCAGGTTTCTTGTGCAGGAGGGTGAAAAGTTGTTACTTTGTCCCAAATAGTTTAATTGGGCTTCTTTTAGACATATATAAACGTCAGAACGTTTACAAGGCATCTAATAAACTAAGTATGGGCAAGATAACGGCATACATCAGATCTCGACAGAAGACAGCTCTGTCTGGATGAACAGAACTGCACTTGCTTATGTTGATGTATTGGGCCAAATCAGTACGTCTCGTATTTCTACTTAGAGACAATCCCTATTGACATGAAGGAAACATGCACTTGCCTCATTAAATATTCTTGAAATAGGATCTCTATAGGAAGTCAAACAAACACTAAGCCTATCTCTGGCTCTCCTTAGAGTGTGCAGCTTCCATACGATTTGTGCCATATAGCGAGTGAAAGCAGAGAGATATAGTAGTGAGATTTACACAGTTCTCATTACCCTTGTGTACAGTGGTATTCAGGGGTCCTTTTGTGGTCAAACCATTTAACAAGCAGGTTCATGTTCACTGGCTTTAACTGACAGTTTGAGCTGGGAGAAACAGCAAAGCATCTCTTCATATGCTGATAATATTCTCCCTCATCTTTCCAATTCTGTAGTTTCCAACGCTTCTTTGTAAGAGCTGGTAACCAGATTCTCTCCCAAGGATTGCTAATATACCCATCTCCATATAACCCAGTTGTTTCCCATGGATGTGTTCTGAATGCTAGCCCAGTGCACTTTCCCACATTTCCAGATAAAGAGAAGGTTTTCAAATATTTGGCGGGTTCTCCTCATGTAAATTATTTGAGTGCAACAGCTCTCCTGAGAGAGTAGGCATTAAGGCAAATTAGATGCAATGACCTGGCAGTCCCTCCACTTCTTTTTTTACACCTCTTGAATGTGACAAGTGATCTCCTGAATAAAAAGTAGTTACCTTATTCAGAAATCATTAGTTATCTTTACAAAACACTTAAAGCAATAGGTTTTTAAACTGTTCTTTTGATTTTTTTAATCTACTGAGGCATCACAAAAAATGTTTGTTCTACTTGCACGGAAGGTTAGAAAAGTACCTCTTACTATTATTGGCTTGCATGAATCAAACGCAGTAAGTCGAGTTCCTTGAAGTGCACTGTCCATGCAGACATTTCACTGTGGGCACCAGTGTGCCTCAGAAACCTTCTCCCAAGCAGTACCCATCGAGCAGCTACACACCCTGCTCCTCTTCATGCTATTAGGATATAAAGGAGAAGGCATATTTCCTGCTCCACAGTTTCCTTTCAATTACAGAATCCTATGACATGAGACTCCAAAGAAGAGGGAATGTAATGGTAAGATGTGGAGCATGCAGATCTCAAAGAATTCCAAGTTATTGGCAAATTATTGCCAAGTAACTTCTCTTTCTCCTTCAAGTGTTTGTCCATCCAGTTTCCTACTCTGGGTTACTCCAAATAAGTGCCCAGACCACCTGAAGATGAGTTTCAGCATACTGGGCAAACCGTAACCATAGGGCAGCTGTGACAAAAGCAGCAGCTGCTGTGGACGCTTCAGCGATGGTATCATGCCTGTGCCTGAAGAGTTGAAGATGACTGCTTGCGGGTACATTTTAAAGGGAGGCCACTATCATTACCTGAACACTCACAGAATGTACTCCCACCACTGCTAGTGGGTTCACTTTAACAATTTTGAGGCATACCCCAATGCAGCCCAAAATCTATCTGGACAGTCTCTGGGTGGCAATCACTGTGCTCTTTTTTTTCCCATTGCAGTTCTGGTTCTAGGCCAGGGGTGGGCAATTATTTTGGGCAGAGGGCCACTTGCTGAGTTTTGGTAAGTCATTGAGTGCTGCATGATAGGCAGCCAGGGGCAGATATTAATTTTCTAAATTTTTTAGGGACCCCACAGGCCGGATGGAATGGCCTGGCAGGCCGCATCTGGCCCCTGGGCTGCATTTTGCCCACCCCTGTTCTAGGCAGATAGGACTCCTCATATCCAGTGTATACAACAATGTCTCTGCTTCTCAAAGGAGTAGGATTTCGGGGAAAAGTTCAGGAGGAGAATCTACGGATTAGTAGAAGAAATTAGTAGACGTGCCCCCCAGATTGGTGCATGGGGCGAGAATAGGCTGCTGCTGTGGGCTTTGCCCCAGGTGCTAAACTTCCTTGCCACGGCACTGCTCTTCACAGTCCCTTGGGGCTGTGAAGAGAAGTGCCACCAGTGGTAGAGCCACTGCAGGCATAAGAGAAGGTGCAGCAGAAAGGTACTTCATTGCCTCTGCCAGGCAACAGGCAGAGGCAGAATCAGAATCAGAATCCTTGGTACCAAAGGACAATGTAAGCGGACATTATAGTGAGCATCATGGGCACTTGTCCTTGTTTCCAAATCACCAAAAGGGTGGGCTCTTATAAAGCACAGAATGTTCTGACACTTGGTTTCAATCAAATGCACTATTAAAAACAGAACAATGCCCGCCAACTAAAGCCTAGATGCATCTCTACAAATGCTGTCTTTGTACAGATAGTAAGAAAACCAAGTAAGCTTTATGAGCTATCAACCTAAAAACAACAGTCCCTTTTTCAGGCTGGTATTGTCATAGCGTTTATGGTGCCTAAAAAAAGAAGGACAGAGGCACATGAAAAAACAGTGCTAAGAGAGTTTCCCTGATAAGACAATGGTAGGCTGACAGGATACAGAGAAAGAATACAAATGAAAGGGGAGGGTAAAGAAAATGACACGCACTTTTTATACCGAATAGCATATTTTATTACAAGAGTCACAAATGAAGATTGCAACATTTGAATAGACTGGTCCATCCTGGCCTGTATTCAGCTAAGTAGTCTTTAGAAATTTCCTCTCTAGCTTTGCTAGCAGTTCTTCTTCAACTGTAATAAATTCCTACTAACAATTTAAGAGATGTAGAGGTACAAAAATGTATTTCCAGTAGTTCTTTAATTATACACTGTAAATATGATTGACTGGTTCTAAAAAAAAAGAAATTAAATACTGCACTTCTCCATTTCTATAATTCTGAACAACCAGGTTCTGTTTTTGTACGGTCATTTAATTTTCACATTATGTTATTTGGTCGAGCACTATGTATATATCAACAGTTTTATTCCTCCATGCGGGAGCTAGAATTCAGGGTTTTAAATTATCAACAGATCAAGGCCATTGGCTACTGTATCTCTGAAAACTGAAGTGGGGACAGAGATAACAGTCACAGCAAGATCTCCAAATAAGGCAGAAGAAATACTGGGTCAGAGACAGAAGAAAACTGTGTAATGGAAAGGGAAGCAGGAAGCAGTTATAGTTGTTACATGACCTGCCTTACCCTAAAACGGTCAAGTGACTGGCCTTGTTCTCACCCTCCATGTTCCACTCTTGCAATAAAATAATTAACACTATTTATCAGGTTTCTCAGAGCACTCTGGGAAAATTATCTGCTGCTTAGACATTAAACAGGAGTCCAAATCTCATTCACTTCATAAAGCTACAAACAAAAGTTAGTTCAGCTCACAGTTTGAAAACATGAAGGACAAAAGTTGTAGTCCTTTCTAAAGGTAGTATGAGGCAGCAATTAACTGGGGTTACTAGTGGAAATTATTACTATAGCACACCATCTGTTAAAGTTCTCACAAGAAAGGGAAATCAGACCAAGTATAAACTTGGTTTAAGACAGAGGTTTTCAGCTGTGGTCCGTGGACCACTGGTGATCCACAGACTATGTCTAAGGCATCCGCAAAAGATTATTATCATCAATCAAAAGTATGTGACTACCTGCACTTACAATTCAAAGGGGTCCGCACCTCCATTCAAAATTTTTTGAGGTCCACAAATGAAAAAGGTTGAAAACCATTTGTTTAAGATGAATCAAGAGTAGAATTTAAAAGTAGAATCGAGAATAATGCTGTTTCACCTTCTCATGGGAGAAGTCATTTCTAAGGACTGGGAATCAATAAATCAAACTCCCTGTGGTAGGGATCACATTTGTAAAGCTCCCTACCCACCTCTGCATGTTATAAAACAATATTCTGTTGACTGAACAAATTCCCACAGAGGGAGCTTGGAAGAAGCTGTTTTTCATGGCCAAAGTGGTAGATCACTTTCCCACATAGACCCAAGTTTCACTTGCTGCACAGAACAGACTCCTGGGACTAAAGTTGCAAATATTGTGGTGTTTTGTTGAGGGTTTTTTGCGGGGGGAGGGCTAAAGAAGCTCTTAATAAAACAGACAGAAAATGGCTGAGAAAGTGCCCTCTACTGGAGTCAAACTATATATTTATCAACTACTTTCATTAGCGCATAGGGGTTCCTTACAAAGAGCTAAACTTTGTCATGTTACGTCCCAAGACATCAATGTCACTGGTAGAACTGGCCAGGCAATCAAGTTTCCAAGTAAAGCTTTTTGAACATAAATGAGAAATTTCAAAATGTATATCCTCCTTAGGCAACAAGAATGTATTTCTCTTATTCTGAAGGTGCTAACCTGTACTCACTTCACGACCTCAGAGTTACCTCACAAGGTTCAATGGACAGTGGGCATGTTATTTCGAAATAAGACTGGGTAAAAAAAAAACAAAAAAAAAAAAAACATTGCTTCGTGAAAACTTGTAGGATTTTGAAATTTTAATGCTGATACAGAACAGAAATGGAACATTTCTATTTTTTTCTTTTTTTTAAGCAGCCCAAGAAAAAATGCTATCCCACAACAACGGTCATTTGACTATAATAGCGAGGTGGGGGAGGAGGGGGACAGGCTCAGCTCCTTGCTCTGGCTAACTCACCACATATACTGAGATTTGGATGGATAGTCCAGGTCCCATGAGAATGTCCTAAAAACAGCAACATAGACTCATCTACCCAAACACCCCAGACTTTCTCCCTGCTTCCTCCCATCCTGGACAAGCTTTCTTGATATAATTCCATTAAGCACTCCATTTTAATAAGGCAGCATTTTCCTACTATTTAGAAAAAGAAAAATATTTAATTTAATTGTTTTAATCAGATCTATTGGTAAACATCAATATTAGACACTGAAGGTTCTTAAGAACCTAAGAACTGGCATATTGGGTCAGATCAATGGTCCATCTTAGCCAGCAGCCTATCTCCAATACTGGCAAGTAGTAGATGCTTTAGAAGAAGAACATATGAATATGGTACATCTAGACTGATCTATACCCTGTCATATGCTCCCTTACATATCATTGGTTTAGGGATGTCGGAGAAGACATCCTTGACTTTTATTCAATACTTCCAAATGGACTTGTTCTCCACGAGTTTATCTAACCCTTTTTTAACCTGATTATATTATGTGCGTCCTGTGGAAATTAGTTCCATAAGTTCCTATGTGCTGTGGGGGGAGAGCAGGGAGGGAGGATAAAGGATTTCCTCTTGTTTGTTTTGGATCTCAAGTTGTTCAGATACTACAACAGCTACACACATTTTTATGTTAATTAGAATCTTAATAAAGATTTGCAGTCTCAAAGCAACAGAAAGCAGCATCATTTGCACAAGACATTTTGCAGGCCTATATGAAACTGCAACCCTTATATCTTACAATTAAGTATAAGCAGGTATCAAAGAAAAAACCAAAAAAACCCAAAAACTCACACTTATATTGCTTTCATCACTGTTTCCGCACATTTTTTAAGAGAAACTCTGAACATTTATACATGTACATGATTCTGGATAAACTCTGGACTCTCCCAATCATAAGATTTACTGAGTCATGTTCAACCCCAGAAAAATGCACCCTTTAAACTGCTCTATCAATCTATATTAGCTAATTATGCTAACCAAGAGTTGTTAGAACAAACTAATTCTACTCATAGGATTATAGGAAATAGGGCTGGAAGGAACCTCAAGTTCATCTAGTCCACCCCCATGCAGGATCATCCCTTACTAAACAGTTCCAGCTAAATGTCTATCTAACCTACTCTTGAAAATGTCCAGGGATGGAGATTTCACAACTTCTCTAGGTACTCTATTCCAATGCTTGACCATACTCAGTCAGAAAGTTCCTGCTAATCTCCAACCTAAATTTCCCCTCCTGTAGTTTCAGGCCATTGATCCTAGTCCTGTCCCCATCTCCATCCTCCCTATAGGTACCACCCTATAGGAACCCTTTCAAATACCCTCCAGGTATTTGAAAACTGTTATCAAATTCCCGTCCCCTTGCCCCCCCAAGTTTTCTGTTCTCTGGACTAAATAACATGAGTTCTTTCAGTCTGT